GTGGAGGTGGAAGCTCTTCTTGTCTTTGAAGAATCCCTTTGGACATACCTGCCCTACAGACCCAGTGTCTCTTCATTAGTAGCTTTGAAGCAGAGTGCTCATTTGGGCTTCTTTCCCAATGAAAAGAATTGTTTGCCCTGGCAGCTCCTGGGTTCTGCCTTGGTTGCTGCTGGGAGTGAGGAGGCAGAGCCACCTCTCTGAGTAAGGCTGGGCCCTTGAAAGTGGGTGTGTGCAATTTTGTGCTGGGCAGAGCTCTCTTTTTCTTGTGGTGGTTGAAGGTGCACTGTCTCCTTCAGGCACAGGCAGCCCACCAGGAGACATTAGAAGAAATCAGAACCAGTCATGTGGACTCACTGAAAAAACAGTTAGAAGACAGAATTAGAGATCTGGAACGTGCACTGGGAAGGATAAAAAGCAACCAAGCAGAAAGACCTTTTCAAAAGGAATCCACCCAGGCAGAAGTGGACAAGTACAAAGAGCTGTATCTGGTGGAAGCCCAAACCAGAAAAAGCCTCACCAAGAGACTGGAAAGGTAAGTCCGTGCTTTTTTGGACGGGTAAGAACAGACTCCTTTTTCCTCCTGCATTTTCCTTAGAAAGAAATCCCTTTTCTACATCTGGCCAGCGTCAGGTGTGAAAGCAGAACGTGGCATCTTTGTGGGGAATGTTCCTTCAGACCCTTCCCTTCCTCAGACCTGTCTTCCTTTCTCTTTAGAGTTCCAGCAGTAACCCCACAGCACCACCACTATGGCATTATTGGTGTCTTTTCAAGTTGAGGTTGTTTTAGCAGGCAGTCTTTCTGCCAGTCTCTACTCTCCTCATCCCGTGGGTGACAGAAAAGATGAATCTTGTGCCCTTTCCTGTTTGAATAAGGAGAGGCCTCTGGGAGAAGAGAGTTGGATTCTGTGAATCCAAAATAAGGCGGCTCTTTCTTGGCTTCTGTTTTGGCAGCGGGTCTGAGGGTTGAGCTTTCCTTGAGAAGGCCAGGGTAGGCCAGAGTTCTTCTGGAGGTGACACTGGCTGCTCCTTGCACTTGGTGTGATTTCTTAGAAACAGGCCCTGTGAACAAGCTCAGATCAAAGGATGTGCTGGTTTTGGACACTCTTCATGCCCTTGGCTTTTAGAAGTCGAGTAGTAGCCAAGGCTGTGGAGGGTAACTTTGCAAAAGCCTTCCTGCCAAAGATGACTCTGTGTGTGCTTGTGAATGTTTCAGAGCTACTGAGAGACTTGCAGAGGCCAACACCAAGCTCTTTTTGGAGCGCCACAGAAGCAGATCTGCAGTCCCAAGCAGCGCTGTCAGCGGACTTCTGGCTGCAAGTCCACTTCAGGATTCACCTGGCCTGGGACATCTTGGCATCAGTTTGGGACTGAGCAGAAGTCTGGCTCTCAGAACACCACCCAGACACCTGTGGTAAAGCCCAAGACTTCTGGTCATCAGGTTTGTCCAGATTTTCCAGAGTGGTCAAAAAAGATTGAAATGGAAGCAATGAGCTGTGGAACTCCATTCTTTCCCAAGAGAAACTGTGGGCAAGAGCTCTGTGGCACAGGAACCTCCCACCTAAGTTCTACCCTAAATTTACACGTAGTAATCTTCTGTAGTCTGTGGGGTTTGGCAGGAAGCCAACTCCAACTGGCTACAGATGGTTTTGGTGTCAGAAGTGGGATTGTTTTGGTTCCTTTGGTTTTGTTGTGGGAATATTGTCTGGGAAAGCTGCCAAGAGCAGGTTTGTTTGTAAACATCCACCATTGTTTTGGGACACTCCTGGGAGAGCTGCCAAGAAGGATTTTGTTTATCTAAACATAGCTTTGTTTAGGAACAAGGAGAAAGAAAAATAATAACAATGGTCTTTTTACTAATTTTTTTCCTGATTCTTGCTGGTTTTGTGCCTGTCCTAGGACATCCTGTAAGGGACCGTTCAGATGGATGGAACAAATTGCTTCCTTTCCTTAATTTGGACATCCACGACCTGGTAGCCAGTTTCCTTAATGGTGACCTTCAAGGTTTTGTAGCAAAGACTCCAAGATCAGCTCTAACCCATCCCTACATTGCTCAGTGACAATGATCCTAGTGGTGAAGGCAGCGAAAATGCTACTTAAAATTGGAGAGGTGGTGCTGCATTGGTCCCCTTGTTGTACGAAAGGAATCGCTGGAGCTTTGGGGACAAGAAGTGCCAAGGGCCACGACAACTGTACACAGGCAACAGTATCGGAGGAACCGAGATGCTGTGACCCCCATCCATACATCCAGTACATCCATGACATCATTGTGTGGGGGGACACAGCAGAAGAAGTTTTTGAGAAAGGACAGAAGATCATCCAGATCTTCTTTCCCTGGCTCCCAGTACATTCCACTGCACCCAGTGTGTCTCTGAGCCTGTCTTTGTTCCCAGCCCCTGTGGTGGAGAAGGTGGTGGGTCTTGTTGGTGAGAAACGCGTGGCTGCATCCCTGGATGGCTGAGGTGAGCAGTGCCTGCAGGGAGAGGGGTCAGGACAAGGCCCCTCTCGTGTTGCAGTGGACTTTGGGGGTGACGTTTGGGGCTCTGTCTTTCAGGACTGGTGATGACACCCGTGCCCTGTCCCCCTCCAGTGGCATGAGGAGATGATCATCCCTGGAAGAACCCCCTGATTTCCCTCAGAGCCCAGGGGCATTTCCCCTGAATGATCAATAAATCCCTTCAGCAAAGCTACTCTGCTTGATCTTGTGTGTGTGTTCCCATCTCCATGGGTGTGTTCCCATCTCCATGTGTGTGTGTTCCCATCTCCATGTGTGTGTTCCCATCTCCATGGGTGTGTTCCCATCTCCATGGGTGTGTTCCCCTCCCCATGTGTG